AAATTACGCACGCTGCTGAGCAATTTCGCCGACGTTTTCAGTCAAGCCAAATTCGACATTGGCTGTACTAAATTGCTAAGCCACCACATCGACACAGGTGATGCCGCTCCAATTCGTCAAAACCCATTCCGGTTGAGCCCGGCCGAGAAGGAACATGTATGGGTGGCTGTCAACGATATGTTGGCGGCCGATGTCATTGCGCCACCGAATAGCCCATGGGGGGCGCCGATCGTTCTTGTTAAGAAGCACGACGGGAGCCTCCACTTTTGTGTTGACTTCAGGAAACTTAATAAGATTTATGTGGCCGATGCCTACCCGCTTCCCAGGATGGACGAGTCGCTCGATGCCTTAGCAGGTGCGCACTACTTCTCCACCTTGGATCTTCTCTCGGGGTTTTGACAGCTACCCCTTGATGACACATCCAAACCAAAGACGGCCTTTCGCACGCCGCAGGGACTGTTCCAATTCAACAGACTCCCATGGGTCTTCATTTGGCCCCGGCGACGTTCCAGCGCCTGATGGAGCTGGTCCTCGCTGGGCTCCAGTGGGATTCTTGCCTAATCTACCTCGACGATGTCATCGTGTTCAGCAAAACTTTTGATGAACACCTCACGCGATTGAAGGCAGTTTTCCTTAAAATGCGGGTGGCTAACCTCAAATTCAAACTGCAAAAGTGCCACCTCATGAGGGATTCAGTTCGTTACTTGGGCCATATTGTCAGACGCTCGGGCATTGCCACGGACCCCGAAAAGACAAATTGCGTGGGCTCATGGCCAACTCCTACCTCTGTTGGGGAGGTGCGGAGTTTTATCGGCTTTGCCTCATATTATCGCCGATTTGTTGCGGGATTCGCATCCATCGCGAAGCCCCTCCACGCATTCATGGCCAAAGGGGTAAAATTCCATTGGGGAGAGTTAGAACAGGCCTCGTTTAATGCCATCCGAAAAGCACTAGTCGATGCTCCTACCCTGTCTTATCCAGATTTTACCACTCCGTTCATTCTGGATACAGACGCCAGCAACACCGGAATTGGAGGGGTGCTGTCGCAAATTGTCAATGGAGTAGAGCGCGTCATCGCCTATGGCAGCAGGGTGCTGTCGCCCGCAGAGCAACATTACTGCGTGACGCGCCGTGAATTGCTTGCTATCGTTTTTTTCATAAAGCAGTACAGACTCTACCTGTATGGCAGGCATTTCACAGTATGCTCCAACCACGCGGCACTACAATACGCCTTGCGAGTGGACCAACCATCTGGACAGCTCTCGCGTTGGCTCGAGATCCTCCAGGACTTTGCGTTCACTGTCATTTACCGCAAGGGGATTCAACACGGGAACGCCGACGGGTTGTCGCGACTGCCGACCGATGGGCGCTGTGCTTGTTTTTTGGATGTGGGGCATTGTAGGCAGCCTGACGGGGTACCGCCCCCATCCCTTGCGGCCGTGGCCAGGGATGGGGTCAGGGACCACGGGACTCCCTCCACGCAAGTTCCGCAGGACGCATTGCTGGGCCTCGGGTTGGACGACTGGGGACGTCTTCAGATGGAAGACGTCTCCCTCCTCAAATTGAGACGCCGCGCTATGGATGCCGAGGGTCACAAGGGGCAGGGGGGCCCCGAATCATTTGTCATCCGGGAAGGCGTCCTCATGCATTGGGATGGGGGGTCCCAATCCCACACGTTGGTGGTGCCCACCTCCCTGCGGGGGCGGCTTGTGTGGGAAACCCACAGTCGCCTCTTGCACTTTGGCGTTCAGAAAACACTAGCTAAAATCCAATTGGAATTTTTCTGGCCGGGCATGGCAAACGATGTGGCTGACCTTGTGCAAGGTTGCACAGAATGTGCATGGCGGAAACCACCTGTTAGGCCGTTCTGCCCGCCGCTCCAATCCATTAAGGTTTCCCGGGTCAATGAGATCGTCGCATTGGATATTTTGGGTCCGTTTCCCGCTACTCTTCGGGGTAATAAGTACCTTTTGGTTGGGGTGGAATATTTTACCCGATGGGCCATGGCCTGGCCACTCCCGAACCAGTCTGCAGCAGCCATTACGGAGGCCTTTTTCTAGGGCTACGTCCTGGAATAAGGGTGCTCCCGAACGCCTGCTGACCGACCAAGGGAAAATTTTCTCTTCCACCCTTTTGCGGGATGTGTGCAACCTGCTAGGGACACACAAAATTCGCACCTCGCCATATCACCCCCAGACTGACGGTATGGTCGAGCGATTACATAGGACACTTACCTCCATGTGTAATAAAGGATGCTCTCTCATGTGATGATCTCCGTTGTCCTTTATTGGGTTCGTTGGTCTCGATACCACGGCGTCCTCGCTCAGGCCCGCCTGCTCTCCCAACGATTACCCCACAGCCACTCTGCTGCTCCGTCTCTCCCGGCGATCACTCCACAGCCACTCTGCTGCTCCGATAGGCAGTCTCCCTGCTGCACCGCCTTGCAGCCACACCGCTGCTCCGTCTCTCCAGCTTTCCTGCTGGCCCGTATATGGCTGGCCTTCCACAGCCCGCCTGCTCTCTCTTGTGTCTGACACCGATGGCTGACGGTGTCGACCTCTGCCACCTCGTGGCAACCTCGCCACCCTCTCCGTACTGCCCAGCGTGGCCTCCTCCTATTTCACTCCGTCACAACTCCCCGATCCCCTTTCGGTTCTCTCCCTAAATCCTCTCCCCCACGTGACTAACTCCACCTTCCCCTCACGTGACCCAGACTCCGCCCCCCCTCAATCCTTGCTCGCATTACACATGCTAAGCCACCAGGTGTCTGAGTCACAGACTGATTGGGATCTCCACTTGGCCACGTATAGAATGGCGGCCCATGCTGCCACGGGGTACTCGCCATTCTATCTTATGTATGGTAGGGAGGTTTGCCCCCCAATCGACGTACAATTGCACATTAAACAGCCCGCACCTAAGTCTAAGATTGCCGACCACATCCGTGCTAATGTGCGTCGTCTCGTGGATGCCCGGGAGGCTGCTCAAAATAACTCAGAAGCCCGTCAGCTTGCCAACGAGCGGTTGCGGAACCTCCGCACGTCCCGCCACGTTTGGGTAGAAGGGCACCACGCCTGGCTCCACTGCCCGCAGGTACCATTGGCTACGTCCTCAAAACTGCTTAAGCCTTGGAGAGGCCCGGTTGTTATTATTCGCGTTCTCCGCCCGCAGTGTGTCAGGATCCAGCATGGCACGCCATTGGTTCGTGCACCCATCACGTCTAAAACCTTACATTCAACCCTACACACCTCCTTCACTTCTCAGGGGCTGAGAGCGTGACATGTCCGACGAGCCGCGCCGCGACGATGCTGGATCTAACTCTCGGGCAAGTCCCGCTGTCCCGTCCTCAGGTGCCTCGGGAATGAAACCCGCCCCGGCCAACCCAGCAGGAACAAGCTTGCCCGCGGGATCAGCGACCCAGGACACTAGCGCAACAACGGGTCGTCGGTCCCCTCCCACCTCCGTCGCGGCCGATGGACCTGCCACTCGAACTCGCTCCAAACTCAAACGATTTTCATGACCCCCGCCCACGAACTCTCGTCCTAACGCGCTGCCACTCACCTTGCCATCATGTATAGTGGGCGGTTGGGGCGTGCATTCGTCCTGCATATATGTATTTATACAGTGTTGTTCTGCATCGGTGGCCTGGAGTTTTTTTTTTATATACGCGTGACGACAGGAGGGGGAGAGGCGCTTTCTTCTCATTTTTCTTGTTTTGTCATCCATTTAGTCATTGACACGCATACACTCAATCTAATGGTTAACAAATAATTTATTGTACCATTGTATTTTTTTGACAGCCGGGCCGGCTGGAGGCTACGTTGAGGGGGGTAATGTTGTGCCATAGGAGGGGCCACTGTGCCAGCCCAAGAGGGGAGGGGCTGCTGGGGGCTCTAGGATCCTAGACAGATAAGCCCTCGGCACCAGACGCTAAGATCCCAGGCAACCCAGACAGTTAAGCCCCTTGGCGCCACCAACGGGGGGGGGGGGGGGGGGGGGGCTGTGTGTGCTCTGTGGGATATCTGGGGGCGCACACAACCCCACCCCTCGTTGGGGAAGAGGCATAAAAGGGCAGCTCCCTGGCCGACCGGGGCCAGTCGCAGCTCAAGACCCAAGACCAGCGAGCCAGCCAGCTTAGGACCCTGGAACCCCTCGTCCTGCTTGTCCTTGTAAGGGCCGGGACACTGTGCGGGCCAGTGGTGGGACTCTGGGACTCCCGGCTCTACGTCCTTGTAAGGGTGAGTTCCGAGGAAGCCAGAGTCCAGACCCGCACCTTGGCTGGGTCGAGTCAGGTAGCCTCCCCTAGGGTAATTGTAGCCGGAGGACCCCAGAGCGTAGCCAGAGTAGTGTACCTAGGCTGTGTACCTAGGCAGTGTACCTAGGCTGTATCAGAGTATCAGGACTATTGGAGTGTTGTAGTGTAATACGGAAGTTACCTCTACAAGTGTCTCCGGAACCCATTACACGTGTGTTGCGACCGAAACATCGTGTTTTCTTTTATTATTTTTTCTACCTACGTGAATTTACCGAAAGAACCAGAGAGTATGGATTCCTGCAGACACGAAAGCTTCAAATCAAGTACAAATAGAGTTTGTAAAAGTCTAATGTCTGCATCCACTAATAAATGTTTTCAGCCACTTTACCACAATGATTTCAACTCTTAGTAACATGCTTGTCTACATACTCTGCAAAATATGATATCAATAACTCTGGAATACATTCAGCAAAGGGCGAATTTAATGGGTAATAGATATTTCGCTTACTTTGATTATTATGCCTTAGTTTTTGATGGTTTCCTTATGATTTTAAATATGAAAAAATTAATCTGGCAACAATAATCGTGCATGAACAATGTTTTTTCGAAACAAATGATGCAATAATTACGGACCGAATATTACGCAATATATCATAATATCGCCATATCGTGGAAATCCTAGTTACTCAGAAAAATATAATCAAACAAATTCATGTCGCCAACAAGTTAGAAAAGAAACGCATCCTACTCAGTTATTCTTGTTGAACTTGGGTCAGGGTCTTGTCCACCATCAGGATACTTTGTCCACGATCCTTACTTTTTTCCATGAAATCTTTGTAGGCTTTGTCTTTCTGGAAGGAGAGAACAGCAAATAACACTCTGTGTCATGCAAAATGATACATATGCATCGACATTGAGGGAGAAAAACGAGAGTAAAAGGGTAGCGGTGAATGACACTCGCGGTCATTCGTGATAATTCTAGTAAGTTTGGTCTTTGCGCCACTTCTGACAGTGCAAGACTATCAGCAAGGTGCTGTTTCACAGACATCTATAGTCTGCAATAAAAAAGAGAGGTTTTGAACTCCCCCTGGCTCCACCAAATGGGTTGTGGCCAGGAGAGGTCAATGGACTCCTGTCCTTTCAGTACTCCTGTAACCTGCTTGCTCTAACATTGTCTCTTTAGTCCCCTTGGTAATGAGCATTGGGTCTCTGTGTGTCTATGTTGTGTCTCTCTATCTGTGTGTCTGTGTTGTCTGTCTCTGCTTGTGTGTCTATCTGTGTCTCCGTGTCTGTGTTTTGTCTCTCTCTCAAATGTAGTTCTACCTGATGATGGTTGCTTGTGTTGCAATCGAAACGTCGTACTCTATTATTTAATTACATTTCTTTCTACATTACTTTATTGAAAAAAACAAAGAGTAATTCCCGCTGTCACGAACGCTTCAAATCAAGTTTGAAACACCTCTACGGGCGGATGTAAGTTGTTTTCTCTCTCTCTCTCTGTGTGTCTCTGTTTGTTAAATTTCACACTTAACTTAAAATTTAGCAATCTTTGGAGATCGTAATCAACCAGGCTATGCGCTAACTGTGTGTTAGCCGACTATCTGTGTTGTATTGCATTACATTTCCAATTTGTTTTTAAGTTTGTTTTCTCAAACGGCCTATTTCTCTCTCTAAAATGTACTAGGCTCTCATAGCTCCATTCGCTCTTTCTCTCCCCTGGCCGCTTCGGGGTGGATTTCCACACATCTCTCTGTGTCTCTGTTTGTCAAATTTCACACTTCACTTCCAATTTTAGCAATCTTTGGTAGATCGTAATCAACCAGGCTCTGTGTTAACTGTGTGTTAGCCAACTCTCTGTGCTGCATTACATTACATTTTCAAAAGATTTGCTAAATTTAGTTTTCTCAAACGATTTCTCTCTCTAAAATATACCAGGCTCTCGTAGGGCCATTCGATCTTCTTTCCCTAGGTCGCTTCGGGGTGGATTCATTGACATGCTAATTTCTCTGCTCCAGCAGCTGCCCTAGCAGACCCACCTCTCTCTCTCTGCCCAACCCCCTCTCTCTCTATTTAAGGCCTCGACACAGAGGCATTGGGTCTCTGTGTGTCTATGTTGTGCGTATCTTTCTGTGCGTCTGTGTTGTCTCTCTCTGCTTGTGTGTCTGTCTGTGTGTCTCCGTGTCTGTGTTTTGTCTCTCAAATTTAGTTATACCGGATGACGGTTGCTTGTGTTGCAATCGAAACGTCGTACTCTATTATTTAATAGATTTTCTTTCTTTGTGACTTTGCCGAAAGAACCAAAGAGTAGAGTGGTTTATATTTATAGATGCTTAAAATGGAAGAATTATGGCAGAGAGCTAGAGGCAGGTCTATATATAGGTTGTGTGTAGAGGTGAGCAGTATATGCGGCGCTGTGAAGTAACAATTAGGTGATGTCCCAGGACAGGAATACATGGAAAAGAGCAGGAAGAACAACCTCTACAGAATGGAGGAAACGTCAGGAAGAAGATGCACATGGAGGGTGTACGTCACCTCTTCCCCGAGTCCCTGTGTAGCATGATACTCTTCGTCCAGTTTCTGCATTGCTGCTTTGTATCTCTGATAGCCCCCAGGCTGCATGAATTCCTTGTCCATCTCATTCACGTGTTGAAATAGTTCACGAAGTCGCCGTTCGGACAACTTGTATGATTGCTCCGTGTTCTTTTTCTCCATTTTCTCAAATGTTTCCAGCGTGAAACGCTGTACAATAGAGGCTTTGTGAGTAAACAAACAAAAGTCCACCAAACACAAAAGAGGAAGAGGTTCATGCAAACATGTGGCCACTCAGCTAATCCAAGTGGGCAAGGCAGACGTAGACAGAACAAAAAAATGGCATCATCTCGACCTAGTGAATCTAAAGCTCTCCAACTATTTTCTGCAGACAAAAATGGAAAATGCTCTAAGATGATAGCCAGGAAAGAGTGTGGCCTGGACGTTAAAACTCTGACAACAATGGAAAGATGAGCTGCAAAATTGCCCACTTCCTTTAATTCACGTGTCATCTAGGATCACAAGAGGATGCCTTAAATATGGAAGAGGTTCAATATTTTTTGCAATAATAAAGCAGGTGAGAACCCATACATGCCAACAAGCTACCACCTAAAATTACCCATCAGCTACACTACAAACCTGAGTGATGAATCTTAAAGAGAATTAGACCCATTGTAGAACAAACCCTAAACTTCAAAGATGTAGGTTTTTCCCGAAATAACCACGTGCGACCAATTACTAGCACTCACTATTTAGATCAAAAGTGGCTTCTAGAAGAGTAATGGCACCCGAAATTACAAAACGGGGCTTGTATTTCCAAAGCTTTTTTCTAGATAGGCAGTCGTGGCAACAAGAGATGCTTCTAAGAAAAATATGCTTCGGAATTACCCTCGGGGACAAGATACATCAAAATCAGAATATGTATTTATACTGCAGCAATCCAATAAGCTATTAAGCTCTTTGTCACAGATGTCCAGTAGGGGCACGGGGTAAGAACGTTACCACATCAAACTATAAAACATGATAGGAGTGCAAAGTACAATAAAGTTAAACAAATGACCTAAAAAGGTGCAATTTAAACAAAACCATCCCCAACCTGTTAGACAAAGCCCACTGAGGTATTCACTTATTGTTCAAAAGCGACCTGGCCACAAATTCTAGCTCAACAAAGTAGCTTATCATTTGGACATTTATGGCAGTAAAATTATCTAAATAGTCGAATGCATGTTTCTAAACGTGGAGGGAAAAACCGGAGGACTCAGAAAAAATCAACGCAATCACGGGGAGAACATGCAACGTCCAAATATACAGGCATCAGAGTTGGGTTCGAACCCCCGAACTCCTGCATACCAGGCGAGGAAGACAACATTTTCTAGCCACCATGATGCCCTTTAAATAAATATAGTATATAGGTTAAAATTGCTTAATAAATTCCAAAGCTTCGGAAAGGCAGTAAAACAACAGCAAAAACTGTCCCAGACCACACCAAGAAAACACACAATCCCTTAATACAAATTGTACATAAAAATCTAACTCTCAATACGTTGTTACGAATTCAATTTATAAATCACATTTGCAAATGTGGCTTTATGCAGCACTAATCTGCTTCAGAATATGTTTCGAAGGAAGATTTATGATGTTAAGTGAGGAAACAAGGCTTTTCCAAAACGTTGGTGCTGCAATGGGAAAGGCTGAGTCACCTCTTACAATTCTTATTCTTGGGATAGATGTGTAATAAAGGACTCTTTCACTGGGTCTGTCTCCGTTGTCCTTTATTTGTGTTCGTACAACTTTGCCCGCATGGCGCCTCGCTCAGAGTCTCCTCCACCTCCCGCTCGGCAGCCCCTCTGCTGCCGTCGCTCCCACAGTCCTGCTGCTGGCTCCCGATGCAGCTCCGCTGCTGGCTTTCCTCTCAGCCTCTCCGCCCTCGATCTGCAGCCCCTCGGCTGCTCTCTCTGCAGCCCCACCGCTGCTCTCCGTCTCCCCCGTGCCCGGACACCGCTGGCCAACGGTGCCGAGTCCCGACCTGTGGCGATCACGCCACTTTCCACCTCCTGCCCTGCGTGGCCTCCTCCTGTCTTTATCCTTACACTCTACCGGAAGGGTTCCTGCCCTTCTCCCCACGTGACCCAACTCCTCCCCCCTGTTACGTCATATCCGCGAGGCCGTTTACGCTCGCATTACAGATGGAGAAAAACGGGCTACCATAAACGTGCTGTCCTGGCACTGATGTTTAATATGTCTACAAATAACTTACCATACACAAACTCTAGACGGTTCATATATACTGATGGCGTCTGCCTTTCCTACAAAGACCATGCTTTTAAGATGAACCAACACAATTTGCACATGATTAGACACTCACCTACAAATATCTATTTAACAAAAGACTTAAAATCAAGAGAACAAGACTTCCAAGTCTTCTGGTGACGTTTAGTTCAATTTTATTTTCCCACCACTTATTGCTTAAACACCGAAGAGCCGCGAGATCAACCTAGATATTATAAGTTACCCGTGTTTTTATCACTTCACCCATGACTCACTCTGGGCTCCCTAAAGTAACGCTGTGCTTGGCTCCCAACACAGCCTGCCACCTGCTCAATGGCAGACAGAACCCCAGGAAAAAAAGGTGAAAGCTACTTCGCCACTCACATCTGCACGTAAAGTCAGAGCCGAAGAACTTACGGAGGAGGCCCTTTTGGCTTCTCCAGGAAATGCACACCGAAATCGACCAAATTTGTACATAGAACCCCTACGAGTTCTGAACGACAAACTGGGGAATGATCAGCGAGAGGGTTGGGAAACAGGAAGCAGCCACGATGACTCTCCAGTCAACTGTAGAGGAGCTGGAAAATCTAAATTCAAAAGACGAGGAGGGAATCGGGGAGCGAGAAGAGGCATACAACAAGCTTGAAGCCAAGAGCAGAGATAACCAGCTGCATGGCATATGGCCTCCCTGAAGGAGTAGAGGGAACTACTCTGGAGATGGTTCTCTCCTTCATCCAAAATAATCTCCCTCTTGCCCTCCTAAACCTAGCAAAGAAGGCTGAGCGGCCATGGAGACCGACAACCCATGACCTCACCTGATACTCATTATGTTCCAGAGCAAGCTAGGAGCTGCGGAGCTGCTGAAACAGGCAAGACTGGCCAAGGGAAAGGGTGCCCTAATTCAAGTAAGCCGAGTTTTTGTCGCCCCGAATCTGACACCGTCTGACTCAAAAAATATATATTTGTTGTTCCCCCTGCACAGTGACCTGGCGAATAGAGAGGGAGTGCAACCCCAGTTTCTGTACCCTGCCTAACTGAGAATACACATTCAAAGGAGGCGATGGGATATTGCGACTCTGAGCCAGGTAATGCAGTGCAATGAGGTACAGGAGGTACTACAGGGACCGGTGATTCAGAAGGCGCAATGGCGCAGAGCGCATAAATTATGTATTATTTATTACAATACATAATACTAAAGAAATAATACATTATACAGATGATAATTTGACGACGATGGGGTGGTGATGGTGAGGAATTCAGGTGGATGACTCATTAGGAGATGCAGGCATTTGAAAACAACGCTACGCAGTTGTTAGAATTTTAGCACTCTGGGGAACTCTAGCCACAACACTTCCCCCGATTGCATTCGCATATTTTTTCAATGCCAACATGTCGGCTAACAGCAGATGCACTCTCACTGGAATCCAGCCTTTCACTCAAACTCAGCATTTTTTCAGCATACTTTCTTCTCTCAGTGGACACTTGGGAACCGTAAATTAAGGGTCAATTTACAAGCAAGGACCGTATGTGTAAAGTAAACAAAAAATGCACAATAGCGAGTTAAAAGCGGGATTACTGCGAGACTTGAGGACAAAGTGGGAAACCAGGAGGGTGTGCCTAATCTTCAGTCAGTTTCAAACGTAACATTCTGCGGGCACCTCCCTGGTGTCGGTGATCTGGTGCTCTGTGCAACTTGCGAATACCGGAGTCTCGTGGGTCGAAAATAGGGAATTAGTATACATTTAGAAAGTCACGAATATCTGAAACTCGCGCAAAGTGAAGGTTTACCGTTTGTGGTACAAACATCAAGACCTCGGTGGAATCTTCTTTCTGGGGTTTGAAACCATTGGGAGTGTCTAAACTGCAACATACCTGACTCCAAACATTCAACATTGTGGCAAAGGAGAGTTATCTTAAGCAATTGGAAAGAGGATGAACCTCCAACATGGAAACACCGGAGTAGATTATTGTACGCTTTTTCCCTACAATGGAACACCGCAGCTACAAGCTGCAAGGGAAGGAAATGGAGGATGAATTAATCTGGGGCACAACCTTCCTTAATAACCCCATTTAGGATGATATAAAGGAGAGATGACGTAGAGTTTATTAAAAACGAGTGAAATGGAGGAAGGGAAGGGGATAGACCGCAGAGACTTTCATCGCCCCTGCGCTACCTTAGGAGATTGGTGGATCCATAGGAGAGCAAGGCTAGTTTGAGTGGGCCCTAAGTTGCATTGTCCCTCTTTTTCGTTTTATCTCAGTGATGCCCCCCTCCCATTCATTCCTTCGCACTTTTCTTTCTAGCCCCCCTCCCCAACTCTGTTTGCCTGAGTTAGAAAATTCACCCGATACACCTTAACCTGCTCACGTAGGTGGTTTTAGCTTCTCTATTTGTGGGGGGGGGGGGGGGGGGAGGATCAGGGTCTGCTTTTTACACTACATGCAAAACGCACCACACAGTCATCCCATGAGAAAAATACCAATCTGGTCAGTGACAAACTCCACCCAACTAGAGGAAGGACACTTTGGGTTCACAACACATCTCTCAGTCTCCAACTTCCATTCTCTACAAACGGTTTATGCTGACCGACTGCACAAATAGAAAAAAAACTTCCCGGTGTGCGACTGTGCTCATCCAGGAAAGCCAATACAAGGTACAACGATACAATGCCCGATCCACAAATACAAAGAAGACATCACAGCGATGATACATTCTGCTGCTCCTGACATGGTTGTCTGACTTGACCACCTGAATGCAGGAGGCCTGACGGATCCTTGGGACATTCTGTCTACAGGAAAGCCACCCACACAGATTCCTACTTGAAACCGGATTCCCACCACCACCCATCTCAAAAGAATTCTCTCATCAAAACGCTATACCACAGAGCCCATGGCATTGCTGACCAACACCACCTGGCCGGTGAATTAAGACATGTACATCG